AAGAGCTTGAAGGCTTGCAAAATTGTTTATGAACTTTTTACAGAGGGTGTCCAAGACAATATAATCTTTGAAAGCTAGGTACGATTTTTTTGATAAAAGTGGAACGCTTAGAGGTCACATACATAAAGCTAATAAACAACAATCACTAGGATCCCACTACAGCCTTATTCACGATTAAGCTAATCGCGATTAATCGGTAGTGTGGCCGCGACCTTAATCACGATTAACTCGCTAATCATGATTAACTTTATGCATGATTAAAAGATGAATAGCGTAATCACGATTAGTATTAATCGTCATGAAATGTATGCACACTTATCAAATTGAAAAACAAAATGGCGGGAATAGTATGAGATTGAATATTGGTTCTAAAGCCAATCATGTCAGACTAGCAATTAATTACTCCTTTCTTGTTTACTCAGTTTATTGAAATTTTAATTTATTGAGAAACTAGTCGTGCCTGCTTATCTGCTCATTATCTTCTTTTCTATCATTTTTTCGATTAAGAGTTTCAAAGTGATTATTGAAAGTTTCTCAACGTGCAGTTAATGAATAAATACAGCCCTCAGTTGCACTGTGTCTCGCCTGTCTTAGGCGTATATCTTCATTTATAGGCACAAGTTTTTTAAGTATTTTTAAAGAGTAGTTGTTCAGATACGTGTTTTACAGATAATTTCTTTGATCAAAACTGACATCAAGCACACAAAGCGAGGGAAACGAAAGTAGTGAGAAGAGGAAACGCAGATCATGGTCTGAAAACGAAACAACTGCATTGGTAAACATATTGAAAGAGGACAAAATCGCGTGTGAAATGGAAAGTCATCGAAATAGAACACTCTTCGTATTTATTTGCTGTTCTTAATCACGATCAGACTTTAATCATGATTAGCGCGGTCACATTGTTTATTTAACCGTGATTAAAATAGTGTTAATCATGATTAAAAAAGGATGTGGTCACACTACAAAATCGTTAATCATGATTAAGGCTGTAGTGTGACCCTAGTGAATGACAATAAAAAAAGTACTGCAATGTAGTTATACCTCATCCCAATCGTAAATGTATTATATCACTGGTGGAAAGGATGAACTTTTTTGAATTTCATTTCCCATACTTATCTCAGTATGGGATAGTTTCTAAATAATACGCAGTATTAATCAAAACGTTAAATATTTTTTTATCGTTTTGCTTTCTTGATGTTGGAAACCATCATCATATTCCTTCTAAACAATAATTATTAATTAATTACAAATAAATAAATAAATAAATAAATAAAATAATAATTCCTAGTAATAAACTGCGTGTTTTTTGTTCGACAAAAAAAGTGTGATTTTCTGTAACGATTATCTCGAAAACTACAAGTGGTATTTCAAAACTTTAAATGCTTGTGGAGAGAGGAGTGATTGAATTGTGTCTTCTCACCTTTTGAGACTGTTTGTATATTTCGTTGCTCTGATTTACAGTTCTAAAGTAGGTCTTTTGAACGTTTAGGACTTTCAAAAAATACGATAATTAAGCTGGGTCATACATGTATACGCACTTTTATACCAGAGTACGTTCGTCTACCGCGTGTTTCATTTTATGATCGTTCTCTATATCTATTGAACAAGTAATTATCGTAACTCTAGCTTCTCTGTTGCCGTATCCTTCATTCGCTTGTTCCTCCTTCGCACCACATTCGCAACTCTCACTAGCATGATTGCCGTCTAGTTTGACCATCCTGTATGGTGAAACAGTAGTAGCACTTGATTGTCAGATTTTCTCAAACTATTGCACTTCCAAAGCAGAGTTTTCAATTAAGATGATTGAATTGATTAGACTCAAGAGTGAGTTGTCTATATATTGACCGGTACAACTGTTTGAATGCCCACTCGGATGCTTGCATACGCCCTTTATTAACAAGACTAAGAACACGTGCGAAGCATGGTAGTTTACACGCATACTCATTTTGAATCAAATTTGTCACGATTCTGGAGTTATCCATTTCACATTTTCTCGTGCGCCAATAAATATCAAGGTTTTTTATTCTATAGATTACAAAAACACACGCATACGTACGGCAATCAATGTGATTTAAAAATTTGAATCATTTATTGTGTTTAATATTCTTTCCAATTATTTCAGGTTCTAAAAAACTAGCTAAACGTAAATGTTTTTCTACATATCATACTTATTTTCACCTTCATCGTTAGCCCTTTCTCTGTTCTAAAGATTACACCCCAATGAAAAACAATATTGACTGTATTGATATCATCAATTATAAACATGTTATTTAAGTTTACAAATTTATTTTCAATGTTATAAAACAATAAATGGTATCGTCCTTGTATACATAAAATAAAACGTTGGTCGGATAATAAAATAAACGGATGTTTAACAATAATTAGTGAGATTTGAAAAATATTTTTTTATGTAATCTTATTTCTATTATTTTAAAGTTTGTACAAGAACAAACATTAGGAAAGTATTATTCATTAACGTTCGGTAAATTTAATGTTAGAAGTTTTATCATAAATGAGAACTAACGAGGGAACATTCTGAGGTGGCAAACTTCGATTAACGATCTTTTGCAAATCGATAGTGTATAGTGTCGTAGTAAAAACCTTTCCTGAGATTTTGAACTTGTTCTGATGTTTTTTGGGTGAATAGTGAATTTTTTAAGGTTAGATAAAAACAGTTTGAAAACCCCAATTTTCATAAAACTCGATTTTCGGTTTTTAACATTTTTCTAAAAGTAGATATTGCCATGAGACTCAGCATGGGCGATTTCCCATAGTTCGTCCGTCTTCAAAGCTACCCGGTCGCCTACAATAGTCACCCGATGCCGGTCCTGGGACTCATAGGAAATCCGATACAGCGCTCGAACTGTCGAAATCAAGACCTCGTTTGTCTCCCACTTTGAAGCGGACACCTCGTGCTATCAACCCATGAAAAAAAATCAATACAATCCTATTGGAGGATTTCTACACACGGCCTGGTTTTCCAAAGAACTCTTCGAAAAGTTGTTTGAGAAAAACTCTTCTGAAAAACTTTTGATTATCAAAACATGTAGCCAAGTCTCTTCTTTCGAATAGTGAAAACCAGAACTCTCTAGGTCTTTTCTATCAAAAGTTATTCAAAAAACAGTCATATACCATTCTTTTTTTGGATGAACAATATATGCTGCCAGTTACCACACATGTAGGGATTATCCTAGAGAAAATTTTCAACTTTTCGTACCGTAGTTGGACTTAGTTATGAATTTTTCAATATTCACTCTTTTACTGTGTACAGATAAAATAAAAAAAAGTCATAACTTTTGAAAGCGACAAGAGTACAAACCCTTTTAGGGTTTTTGCTACCACACTACACACTATCGATCGGCAAAAAATCGTTGAAATCGGAGTTTGACACCTCAGAAGGTTTCCTCGTAAGTAGTGATTAGTGTGCGCAGTTTAATCTTTTATAAATAGTTCTTGGTAATATAACATAAATAGTCAATCTTTTTAACATTATAAATATAATTTAGAACGATGACACTAATTAATCTTATTAATAATGCCAATAGTGACGCAGCAAAAATTGATGCGAATGGAAATGAACAAATTGCACCAAAAATTTTTACTGTTGATAAACTGAATGAACAATATCAATTAAATCAAAATTTTTCACCAAGTCCTCTACGTGGTTTATTAAATTATATTAAAAAATATTACAGACCAAGTCCAGAATGTTTGAAAAGAAATTTATACCATCGTATACCTATCATTGAATGGATACAAAATTATAATCTAAAAGAATGGATAGGATCTGATATTATTTCAGGATTGACTATTGGAATTGTGCATATTCCACAAGGTAAACATGATAACGTTAGATCTTCAGACTAAAACAATAATTACTAATATTTAGTACTTTCTGACTTAACTTAGAACAACTATAGCATGTGCTTTTAGGACTTGGCTATGCAATTTTAGCTGGTTTACCGCCTGTGACGGGACTATATGTTTCCTTTTTTCCCGTTATTCTTTATGCTATTCTTGGCTCATCAAAACATCTTTCAATTGGTGAGTTATAAAGTACAGCAATGCTGGTTAATACCTATAATATTTACTTTCATTCTGTTCAAAAGGGACTTTTGCTGTCACTTCGCTGATGATACTGGCTGCTATGAATAGTCGTGTTGGCACTCTGATTCCACCATATGGTGCAATGAGTTCAACTAATACTAACACAACATTTTTCAGTGATTATTACACTGCTCAACCCTATGATACATCTGAACAGTCACTACTAACGGTCTCTACTCTTTCAAGTACATCAGCGTCAGGTTCACAACGTTATCTCAGTAATAATCCGAATGAAGCTCGAATAATGGTGGGAGCAGCGTTAGCATTCGTTGCAGGTATTATACATGTAAGCATGAAAAATATTCTTTTGATACACTTACTAAATATATTGTTTATTATTCTAGCTTGGAATGGCTATTTTGCACTTTGGTTACGTAACAGTTTATTTATCGGATTCAATTGTTCAGGGTTTTACTACTGGTTGTGCTATACATATAATTACTAGTCAAATACCACCGTTACTCGGAATTAAAATAAAAACAGTGGGAGGACAGTCAAAAGTTATTAAAGTAATATTATTCAACACTTTCGCTTTTTTTTGATCATATGACACTTTTGCTTTATGCAAAATATAATGCGTATTTCAGAACTGGATTGAAATATTCAAGAACATAAAATATTCAAATGGTGCAACAGTCATTGTCGGTAGTATAAGTATTGCGCTATTTGCCGGTGTACGTGATCAAATTAATGAACGATTTAAAGGACGAATGCCACTACCAGTACCAATTGAACTAATTATTGTCCGTTACAAACACTCGTATTTTTGTATAATTAACAATTCATAAAAGCATTTGTTTAGGTAATTCTTGGAACTGGATTGTCAGCTGCATTCGATTTTAACGGTAGATGGAAAGTGGCAATCGTTGGGAGTTTACCTCTTGGGTCAGGAAAAAATTGAATTGTATACATATACAATGTTAATAACCTTTCGTACTCTTTAGTATTCCTGCACCATCTTTTCCACCAAAAGCAGCCTTGACAGATGTTTTGAGTGATGCGATTGCTCTTGCAATCGTGTCGTTTGCAGTTAACATCAGCATGGCTAAGTTATTTGCAACAAAGTATAAATATAAAATCAGTCCTAATCAGGTAATGGTAGTGGCTGAAACTGTATTTATTTTCTCTTTCTAACAGAAATTTCATTAGGAATTGTTTTCTTACGGTGTTTGCAATGTGGTCACGTCTTTTTTCAACGGTTTTCCTATATGTGTTGCTCTTTCACGATGTGCTGTTGTCGAAGGAACTGGTGGAAAATCACAGGTATATCGAATCTTTCGGCTGAAATATTGTCACAAATTAAGTTCAATCTCCACAGGTTGTTGGCATATTGGCATCCATTATTGTTCTAATTGTGATATTGGCTGTTGGTCCCGTTTTTCGGACACTTCCAAATGCCTGTTTAGCTGCTATTATTGTTACGGCAATGAAAAATATGCTGCTACAAACAAAACAATTGCCTGTTCTTTGGCGAACGAATAAATTAGAATTTTTAGCATGGATTATTACATTTTGGGGTGTCGTTCTATTAGATGTTGATTATGGTTTATATATTGGTGTTGTAGCAACTATTCTGTTGTTAATCATTCGTACTCAACGGTAAGCAAAGCTTTTTGTAGTTAATTAAGAGACTAACCTCGTGGATGTGCTTGAGCCAAATACTTGCTTTTTTGTAATTGGTACATATTCGTAGCTAGGATTTTGTTAGTGGATGGGCGTTACCCCAAATTTTTCCAAAGTAGTAGAAATATAAGAAATTTTGACTTGATTTTCTGACACTTCCATATCAAAACCCTGCTGCCACACTTCTTCAGTAGTAATAACCCATTTTGCGGCACACAATCGATAAAATCTTGGTCTTTTTTTTAGAGGCCATTTTTTCGAAGAAAAATGAAAAATACTGGAAAAGACCAAAAAACCGCAAAAATTTTAGTTTTCAGAAAAACCTCTAAAACTTTCTTTTGGTTTGTGCTACACACTCGCGATTTTCAGATTTTAGTTCCGCGTTGAAAACTAATTTTAGACCAACTAATTTCCGTCATCACCACGAAAATGAAAATCAACTAAACATTTCGAAATACACATCATTCGCTCAGTTTTTGATCGTGATTCCGACTATTCTGTTTTTATCCCATAGAAACTGAGTTCTGCTAGAGAAAATCGAGAATTACGGGCAGAATTCTGACCTTTTCGTCTCTGATTTACGAAAGATAGAATATCTCAGCAAGGAAACATTATTTTCAAAAACTCTCTCATATTTTTAAAGCTTGAAAGTTGGGCCACCTTTCCATATATAATTCAAAAGGCTAGCCCTTCTCAGAAAAAACTAGTAGGGATTTTGAGGTTTCAAGCCTCGCTAAAATTCAAAATAACGGTTGAGGGATCGAAAATTAGTTGGTTTAAAATTAGTTTTCAACGCGGAACTAAAATCTGAAAATCGCGAGTGTGTAGCACT